TCGTTAATCTGTTTTGATTGTCCAAAATCAGCAATCTTTGGTTGTTTTTGATGAATTAAGATGTTCTTTGAATGCTACGAATATTCAAAACATTAGTTATACTGTAAACAATTTCTTAAACAAACAACTGAGTTCCAATCCAGTGTTTATACGGAAAATTATCATATTGGCTGCTTCGCATCCAATAACTCATTATCCGTTATCCGAAGTGTACAATCTGAATTGATTTGGATATCTGTCTACTATTACAGCTGTTTTCACATATTCTGGGACACCTAAAATTTTCTCGTTTCCCAGAATCTTTTCGGTTTCGTCCGGTAAATTACCTAGCTCTCTGGAAACTACATTGCTATTTTCGAACCTTCAGTCCGGAGACATCGATGTAGTTTCCGGAGAGTTAGGTAATTTACCGGACGAAACCGAAAAGATTCCGGGAAACGAGAAAATTTTTAGGAGCTGTAATATCCGAATATTTATCCAATCTATTTAGATACGAATAAATGGATTACGGATTTATCTGAATTGGAACTCTAACATATAAAACAAAATAATATATTTACAAGATCACTATGTATAATACTATTGGTGTGCAAGAACAAAAGACCATGTACTATTTCCCTTGATATACGCAATTTATCTATCCATTGTAGTTTTGTAAAATTTCTTTTTAGGTATTCTCGTAAATTTCCATCATTTGCATATTGTAAAACCATATTATAATATCCATTATTGTCTATTAATTTATATTTAATACTATTATATAGAAATTAAAATATTTATTACATTGTATTCCAAAGAAATAATAAACTGTTTATACCTTTCGTAACCCCGAAGAATTTAATAATATTTTGATGGCAATCAACTTTTCGTAATAGTTTAAGCTTTTTATTACGGATATAAAAATTTAGTATTATATCAAGAATTAATTCAATTATAATACTGTAGTTACCTCTTTAATAAAATCTTTAATAATTTTTTCATCTAAGCTTAATTCGGTATCGACTTTAAGGCACTTAAGAGCAACCGATAAATCACAATCTTCCCACTCGTATTTAAATACCTTTCCAAAAGCACCAATACCAATCACTTTAGGGTCTTTAAATTGATTATAATCAAGATTGTTGATATGCCCATCGGAAATAGCTTTCTCAAGCCATTCTTCAGGTGTTTTTGCCATGGCCTTTTGTAAGTATGTACGTACGTACTAGTCTTAGCAGTTAGTCAAGAAATATACGTGCGTACTTTATCTGTTATATTTATCAGGAACTATACGTACGTACGTTCGTATATGTACGAATGTATAGCAGATACGTAGCACATACTCCGTGTCACAGTTTTTATAAATCGCATAAAAGGCAACAAGTATTTTTAATCCGAATAATTACTAATACAAAGTTTCTAATTTTATAATTGCCCGGATTCTGGGATTATTCAAATTGGGAGTTATCAGAACTTTAATTTATGTTTATAAACTCTATTTCTTTTACTAAATCTAGTTAGGGTTAGGTTACCTTTTTGATGCACTATGTTAAGTATTATCAAAAAAGTAAACTATGCAGCTGTATATCATATATTGAAATAGCCGACCTCTTTTATTGACTTCCTTTTTGGTTTGATCTACTTACCTGCGGGTTTATTAACTATTTTTACTTTATTACTGCATTATAGAACTGTCCATACAAGGAACGTAGTGATGCAAAATTACAAAGTGTATTACCAGGAACGTAGTAATGCAAAATTATTACAGCTGTTTTCATGATTTTTCGGCCGATCCGATTAAGCTATTGATTTCGGCATAATCGGTATATAGTGTCCAATTTTTAATATTGATATTGATACTTAATAACTATGATATCTACGTCACAAATTAAATTACATCGTTGGTCCGTCAATAAAATTTTCATAATCAATAGAATTAATAGAGCCTTCTTGAATACAATACTATAAAAGACCATTAATACACAATGCACCTTCTATAGTGAATCGTCTTCCTTGAACAAAAAATGTATTTTTTTGAGCACGCATTCCCAAAAAATTCCAGCCATAACGTCGTGATAGCGTTCTTATGTCATAAGCAGCTTCATCTAAAAAAAAAAAACTCACTCACTTAGTGTATACTGAGAGATTCGTAAAATGGAATTATTTTCTATCACTTCATTTATTTCTTTTGCGAGATTTGAAATCTATAAAATGAAATTGTTATAAATTTATAAAATAAAAAATATTTATAAATATACAAATATTACCTTTTTGCGTGTATTTTCAAGTCAGTATATAGCCCAACCAAAGTTCCATCTCGGGTTGTAATTCATACAAGGCTTTTCGTTCATAAAGTTTTAAGATATTTTATATCGTTCATGTTTAGAGGAAGTTTTTCAATACAGCAATATCTTTTGAAAATGCATAAGCCGACTTATAAAAGACCCACTAACTCCTGAGTGTTTTGCAATTTTTCGAATTGATAGGCCTTTTAAATTTTTTTCAATAATTTGCCAGCGAATGTGCTTTGAAAGTATCATTTTCTGAATTCAACAAGAGATACGCATAATCTTAATGTATATTGGTTAAATTACGTATACGTATTATATCAATTTTTATTGAATTTATTATGCCAAATAATAACTTAACCGGATCGACCGGAAAATCATTCGGTTAATTTTTTATCAGGTGCCCCAGGAATTATGAAAACCGCCTAAGTGCACAAAAAAATGCGCAGCAGATCCTCGATTTTGATTGACTAAGAGCGACGATCAAAAAATTAGGCCGGAATTGCTCTCAATTTTACTAATGAAATCGCAGCCGCCCATTAAGTGAAAATTACTCCTGGGCCAATTTTACCATATCACGAGCTTATTTTTTAAAATTTCTATTTTTGTAGTGAAAAAAACTAAAGTCAATTCCGGCCGGAAATTAGTAAACAGTTATGTAATGCGGGCCAAAATTTTGACCGTTAGCTGATCAAAATCGAGGATCTGCCGCGCATTTTTTGTGCGGCACCTAGATTCAATGCAAAATTACGAAGTGCATGGTTTACAGACAACTAGAATGGCAACTGTACAAAATCTGGATTATGATTGGATGATGGTTGTACATATATAAAATGCTATACTTAATAAAATTTATGTCACATGAATATATATATGTGCATGTATAGATGTGTAAATTGTGCAAAGAAAAAAATGTGTTTGCGATCCTGTATACAATATATTAATGTTCTGCGTAAATAATAAAATTCGTTAATTTCAATTGACACGTGTTATTTTCAATCTCTACCGATTGAAAATAAACTTAGGTGATTTTAAGTAGTCGCACTAAATCCAGAAACGGACATATGTACATATGTTTGTATGTTCGGAGTCTAATTGATAAATTATACTTACTGACGTGACCTTATAAATATATTCAATATCTCTTAAAATAAAATCTTACCACATAAAGTACCCACTTCTCCACCAATGAAATTGTGGGTTCGAATAGTAGTAACCAACGGTAACAGTATCATAATTACTGAATTATGTACTGTAAACATAAAATATGGACAGGTTGAGCTTAAATTTTGAGAAAATAACCGATATATTTGGTATAGCATTGGCATCATTCAGAAATAATAAATATGTGCATATAAAAATAAAATTTATCCCTATAAGAAAAATGTAACGGATCGACACGGGTTGGTTTCGGATAGGCACGGGCCTTTGTGGCACGGGTCAAGATCCGTATTTGTACGGGTATGGTCATTAACCATAGCTGCCGCAACAAATTTGGACCGGCAGATCCTCGATTTTGATTGGCTAACGGCCGAGGATCTTCGAAATTTTGGCCCACATTACAAAATTGGTTACTAATTTCCGGCCGGAATTAACTTTTTACTTTTTTTTATTACAAAAATAGATATTCTTAAAAAATAAGCCCGCATTATGGTAAAATTGGCCCAGCGACAATTTTCATTTAATAGGCGGTTATGATTTCATTAGTAAAATTATGAGTAATTCCGGCTTAATCTTTTTATCGTCGTTCTTAGCCAATCAAAATCGAGGATCTGCCGGTCCAAATTTGTTGCGGCAGCTATGGTTAATGGTATGGTCAGAGTTGGTACGGATTCGGTGGACCGTATGGGACCGTATGCCCGTGCCAATTGGATCTAAATGGCTCGGGTTTTGCAGCAGTTTACTAATCGAATTTGACATGGGCTTTGGCATTGGTAATGATACGTCGATTCACGTGCCATCACGATAATAAATACAAACATGTGGATTAATGATTAAATCATAAAATTTAATTGCATGTAAGTAAGGTATTTTATTAATATGTAGAATAGCAAATGAGAGTAACATTTAAGTTTTCAAATTATTTTAATAAGGATACAGGTAAATTTTATTGAATACAGAAATTTAATAGCGCAGCCACTTATTTTAATCTTCTAAAAGATGCACAAAGATCAATTGAAACTCTTAATAATATCCAATTACTCAAGATACTTGTGTTTATTCGTGAGGTATTTATAAAATATATTATTTGATTTCAAAATATAGAAACAATTGGATATTTTATATACTAACTAAATTTTATTTAATATATTTAATACTATATAAATTAACTACCTAAGATGAATAAAGCAGCTACTGTTGAAACCAAAAAAAATACTATATAAATATTGTTCTGAGAAGGATATGAAAAATTCTATACATGAATGTTCTATATTATCTCAATAGATAATAAATATATGAAATATATTTATTTGATAGGGGGGAAATATCTAAATAAGCAATATTTCACTTTAGAGGCAGGGTCTAGCCTGTTTCTTTTAAGAGTTATATGATTACCAGCATCTGAGAATAATCTCTTAGAAGGAACAGAAGTATCAGGTATTGCAAGATATCTTCTTGCAAGTATTCTTTTGTTTTATCTATTTCAGAAAGTAAATGATACTTGTCTAATTCAGTTTTTTCAGGAGATTCATCATGTTGATGAATTAAAGAAAAAGTTTTTCATTAGAGATTTTAATTTTTTGTAAGTTGTGATTCTCTAGGTAAATTTGTATCACTATATTCTACTTGATTTTCATGCTCATTTAATTTATTAAACTTGTTTTTTAATTTCTTAATCATTCTTTGTTTTTGTGCCTAATTATAAAATAGTAATATAACCTGTAAGTAGTGTATATTCTAACTGCATACAATATAATAATATTATATTATATTTATGAAATAATATATATACTTATTATCTTTAATCATAATACTTTTATTTGAACAAAAAATAGATTTTTAAATCTGGGATTAAGTAATGAAGCAAACCTTCTATAATCATGTAGCAAAAACTATTGGCTTATTAAATTAAATAAAATTGCCTCCTTTACTTCATTTATAATATTTATTTCACTATTTATATTACTAAACCTATATATTAATTCTTTTACTGTTGGTACCATTATATCTAGTGTAGTGTAATTTGATTTAGAAAGAATCTCAGTAGCTTTATCAAATGGTAATAGAAGGTTAACAAGTTTCTGTACAATATTAAATTCTTCATTAGTTAATAATTTGTTCCAAATATTAGCTTCATCATGACAACTATCATTATTATTTGAATTTTCAAGATTATTGGCTGGCTACTTAATTGGTTGCTCAAGTTTTACAAGTCTTTCAAGGGCCATGTAGGTAGAATTCCATCTGGTTGCTATATTAGTTATAATATTAACTACATTAGTATTTAATACATCTACTTTAATTTGTGCTTCTCTCAATTGTTTATATTTTTTTTCTTACTTATAAGTGAAATTAATGTTTTATATTTAGTAATTAGATTTTGTGCAACTACTAAGCTTGTCTCAATGCTTAGCTGCAAGATATATGCAGCATAAAAAATATTAACAATTAGTGTTAATAAAAAAAAACTTGTTAAAAGCTATATAATAGCTGCTTTAATATTTGTGCCATTATCTGTAGTTATACTTATTATTTTACTTTATTCTATACTAAATTCTTCAAGCAAAGGCTCAATAGAATTAACAATATCACCTGCAGTTTTATACACACCCATTTCAATTACACTTAATATAAGATTATATATATAGAATTCATCAGAAATCTAGTTACAAGTTACACCTAAATAAGAGTCATGTGTCTAAGACATCTATAAATCAAATGTAAGTGATATTGTACTAGCTTGGTTATTAATCATATTTTTAATTACTTGAGTTATATGGTTAGTTCTATTTGCTATTTTATTTTTAAGTGTATTTACACAAGGTGGTTTATATCTAGAATCGAAGGAATATAAAAAGGTATAAAAATTTTTATTTTTGACCAAATATAATTGAAGTATACAGAAAATAAAGAGCCTAAGAATATCTTGTATAAGTTTTTGTTACCATGCTAGTGGATAGAATTTTAATAACATGGTTTCAAGTGTTTGTTGAGAAGACTTTTTGAGTTTATTAACTAACTTATTATGAAATGACATTTTTGTAATATAATGTATGTCTCTAAGTGATTAATCATATTTGTAGTCAAATTATATCATATATATTCTGTTTAACAAACTTTAATTGAGCATTTAAGCTTAGTTGGTGATTTGTTTTTAGACTTATATCCAGGTAGCTTATAAAAAATAAAAAAAGATTTTATAAAATTATCTTTATTATTGAAAAGTTTTGGTCTTTTAGCACTATGACTATTAGTAATTTCATTAGATAAAAATGCTAATAATTGAAAATATAAAATTTGAATATTAATATCATCTTGGTCAAGAGAGTTTGTCTGTTGATTGTTATAAATAAACTGTTAGAAGTTGAATTATAAGTAGATAAAACATAATTATAATCATAATCTTTATCCATATTGCAAGAATAAAAGTGAAAAATTAAAGAATCAATAAGGAAAATTTATTACTTTATATACAGTTATAGTTTATAATTATTAACAAAATTTTTTTAATAGTTTAAAGCTAAGTTCTATTACTAGATAGATCCAACTGATAAGTATAGCTGTCAACTGGAATACAAGCCTATTTTTCAAATATTATCATCTGTGTGATTCGAACTCTAGGTCTGCCACTTGGATAGGGTGCTAACTAGACCACTACACTAAGTTGTCACACCTTATTTTATAATATAATTATATACTACATATTATATATTAATATATATTTTATTATTACCTTTGGTTTAGTACTTCTAGTATAGTGATTGAGTATAATTTTTCCACTAACAGAATAATATTTATCTTTTCTAAAAATAGCTTGTATTTTAGAGTTTGTTTAATAAAGCAATATAGTACATATAAAACAATTTCTATTTCTTTATTTTTACATCCTATGGGATACATTTCAATAGCCTATACTAAATTAATTTTGTATTTTTTGTTTTATTTTGTTGACATGTTAAATTTATATGATAGTATCTAAATAACAGAGCATTTTTCACCTTAAACTATAATAATACAGATGGCTTAAAGTCTAGACTATAAAAGAGTAAGTACAGCTCAATATTTATTTATTATTTATTAATATTAATATTTTTATTTATAAGGAAAAATTGAAGGTTTTTATACTTTATATGAGGATTAATTTAAGTTTAATAATGATATATATCACAATATATAACCAAGTACTTGCAAAGTACTTTAAAAATACTTATTTTAATTACTTATTTAATAATTTTCAACATACCTTATATTCTATAAATATTAGCATTTTGTTATAACTAAATAATATCTAATATAATTTTAATACTTAAATAATATGCTTAAAATATATTTATTCATAATATTAATTTTATATAATAAAAATACAAATATAATACTTCTTTTTTTTTAATATTAAGGTGAGGCATTGCTTGTATCTTTATTGAATAATTTTCAACATACCTTATATTTTATAAATATTAGCATTTTGTTATAACTAAATAATATCTAATATAATTTTAATACTTAAATAATATGCTTAAAATATA